TTAGCAATTTGTCACCTGTGTGATGTCGGGTAAGTGGCCTGTCGGGTAAATGACTTTCGGGGAATCGTGCCGTAACCGTCCGGGACACCTGCTCATTACCCGAACTCTCCGGAAACTACATCGCTGTCTGGAGGCAGTGATGTAATGTCCGGAAAGTTAGGTAATTTACCGAACGACAAAAAAGATTTTGGGCAATGAGCAGGTGTCCCAGAAATTATGATAATAGCTGTAAAAAAAAAATTCCGAAAAATTTGGCTATCTACATTCCCGAACATTCTGACCAATCAGAATAAATGCCCGTGTCTCAGAATCTTACCATATAGATCGGACCGGGTAATCCGGGTATTACCCGAACGGATCTTTGTAAGGATCTGTATGCGCGCGGATCTCAAAAATCATAGATCCGGATCCGAATCGGATCCGGATCTTTTTCGGAACACTAAAAATAGTAATCAAAATTTGAATTTGATAAATTATTTGATCAAATTAATTAAAAATTTGATCAAATAATTTCAAAAATTTGAATAAAATTCAAATTTTGATTTGATTTTGCGGAGTATTAACTAGAAAGGGGTAAATCACAAATCAACCGAATTTAGAAACACCGAAATGATAATTAACCGGCTTCTTTCTTTTTCCTCTTCTTTTTCTTTTTCTTTTTCTTTCTAGGATTTGGTTTTCTGGACAATCGAATCTAACATTTAGCCCAAATAAAGCGCACCATTCACAAATAGCATATTCAAAATGACGCCCACAAGCATTATCTCGGTAAGAAATTTTTTTGTATAAATATTGTAAAAGCTATAAGGCGTGAGACATTATAACTACTGGACACATCAATTTTACAAAAACAATAATCAGTTCAATTTGAAAAAAGACCATATTGCGCTGTTCTTGGCATAAGAAATAACAAATATGTCAAAAAATATCATAATTGAGGATGATAATCCGAAAATAGAAGTTAGACATTTAGAGGCCAAGCAGAAAAGCGAGGAAGAAGTAACTAATCAATTATTTTACATAACTTCAGAGCTTTCTGCTGCCAGTAAATTTCTCCAAAATCATTTTAATAAAGAAGCTGATCAGTACGATAAAGGTTTGGATAGGATGAAATTTCATCATCTCTTTGACGAAATATGCCAAAAATATAATTTTGCAGGGACCATTCTTGACATTGGTTGTGGCACTGGATTAAGTGGCAAAACTATTTTAAAGTATAATAATGTTAGCCGGTTTACTGGTATAGATTTTGCAGAAGAAATGGCCAAAAAAGCAATCCAAGGTGGTTATGCAGATGTATATGTAGGATTAATGGAAGAAATAATTCCTTATTTATCAAGTAAAAACAAGAAATTTGATCACATTATTAGTTTGGGTGCTATTTATCACTTATCTAATGATATTTTTACAAATTTCTTACCTTCTCTGTTTGAGATTGCCGAAAAATCGGTTACTTTGCAAATAGACGAAATTACTGATGAATTTCTGGCTAATATAGAAAAAATACAAAATTTCCGAGCCCCATTTTTTAATAACACGCCGATTATTGAAAGATTTCATTTACCGAAGAATTGGAAAATTGTTCATAAAGAAAAACATTATTTGTGGACATCGCCAACTACTAAAGACGAGATTTATGGAATTTTCATAAGATATGAAAAAATTGTTTCTGAGGAAATTAACTAATATTAGTCGGAATGGGTCTTGTTGAAAATCAGATTAACTACCAAAATGAAGATTAAAGGCTAGAAAATGAGCCCAAAAGCTCCTTTTTTATTAGTAATTGAAATCTCCTTTGAATTATTAAACTTCTCCCCATCGCCTCTCCTATACCCGAAATTTTTAGTCAACCCATCCTCTGTCTACCCTCATTCTCTTTCACAAATTTCCCCATCAAATTTTCCATAAAAGTATCAAATTACTTTTGCAACTACTTATACCATGTTTTGTTAAGGTTTTAAATCAGCTATGTAAATCAAATCTATATTAGGTCACCTTAATTAACATTTCATTACTAGAAAATTTAAATTAAAATTTAATTAAAGAATATAACTATAACCGGTGGTGATCATCACCGGCATCACGTGACTATGTTTGACTAATAAAATTTGTATTTATTTAATTTATCGAACTTTTTAATTAAATAATATAAAAAACATAATTTTATAATATATAATATTCTATTTATTTCAACATAATATGAACGTTATTACTGTATTATTATTGAATATACCCTATACAATTACTAATCTAACTATAAAAGCCCAGCATCGTTGCATACCCCAACCCTATCTAACCATAATAAACTCTACAAAAACTAATTTAACCTAGTACATATATAGAACAAACCCATCTATAAAAGCGAACATAGATCTATATAGTTGTTTACCCCAACCCTAACCACACAACTAGGAATGGAATCGGTTATTATATTTAGTCGGCCTATTACAGCTATTCTCATTTTTCTCGGGACACCTTATGAAAGTTTACTTTGTCGATTCGATGTTATTTATTTCGGCGTGATCATTATAACGTTTATGATTCACGAAGATAGTCTAAAGTCAGCTACGTACGTACGCTGTGAATGGGTAGATCGTTGTTGGTAATAGATTTTAGATATATGGTTAGCCCAAGCTACCCCAGTGAGACCGTGAAAGATCATTGCAGACGCACCAATCAGATCTTTTCTAACAATCGCCTCTCTATGAAACCACCTACTGCGCACTAACAAAAAAATTCTTCGTAAAATTTTAGTATAAGATAAGCCATAATTTCTGTCACAACCCCAACCCGAACGTAGGTTTTTATTACTTTAAAAATTCGATTGTTTAATTAGTGCAGATCATCTGATTGGCGCATATTGTCGATCTTTCACGGTCTCACAGGGGTTAGATAGCCCACGTACGTAACTGATCTGGATCGTGACCCGTAACATCAAGAATCGAACTCACAACCACAGTAACTGCTAACGAAAAAAGTAAAGTATTAGTAAAGTAGCATGAAAAGCGAACTAACACCAAGTCTTTCCACGCCTCGATCGAAGCCTTACCAATTAACCAACGTTCTATCTCTGATTGTAACTCATAGAAATGCCGGTCAGATTTTCTCGTTACATTGATCATTCCGAAGTCGATAACGAAATAAACCACCAACGGCGTAAAAGGCTCCAGGTAACGCAGACTGAACGATACCAACGACGAAGAGAACACCGCGAAAAATAATTCACTAAATTGGGCGACACCAACGACGAAGGAAGCACACGAAAGAACACACACCGAATTGGACGACGCTTATGACAAAGGAATCACCAATGCCGAAACAAGAGCCACCAAATTCGACGACACCAGCGACGAAGAAGAGTCACCACCGAATTCGACACACCAGCACGAGAAAAGAACTAAAGAAGAACCTCCAACTCGGCGACACCAGCGACGAAGAAAGAAGCACCGGATTCAACAACAAAATGTAGCACCGAATTTGACGACGACGAAGAAGCACCGAACTCGACGACACCAACGACGAAAGAAAGACGAGCCACCAAATTCGACGACACCAGCGACGAAGAAGAGTCACCACCGAACTCGACACACCAGCACGAAAAAAGAACCAAAGAACCTCCAACTCGACGATACCAGCGACGAAGAAAGAAGCACCGAACTCGACGACACCAACGACGAAAGAAAGACAGAAGCGCTGAACGACGAAATGAATGAAGTATAAAACTATCACCTGAAGAAAAAAAAAATAAGCGTTAGTACTAATTAAAACAGAAACAACGAAAAAGAGCAAAAAAAAAATACAGATCTTATTTATTACTGTAACGATATGTTACACAATTATTTATTTAAGTTATTCTCTAAATTAAATATAAAAATAGCCCATACTTTTATCATACGCAGGTCGAATTTCTTTTCCTTCAAAGTTTTCTAAAAACTAATCGTTTCTTATGCAAGCAAAGGTGTGAATGCATATTGA